AGAGCTGCCGGTTCAGTTCACTTCGCAGCCCTGCACCTCCGGCAGTGCTCTCCCCCGCCTAAGTGCCGAGGCAGTGCACATCGCGCCCACCTTCCTGCAAGAGCACAAGTTGTAGATGATCTATTTTGCTATGCTTAACCATGGAGTCATTTTCTTACTCCATTTCTTTTGTGCCAAAATGGTTTCTTCACTATGAAAGGCCTGCCACCTCGGCTTTCACATCATGCCGTCGCTGTATTGCTGTCTTCCTGCTAAAAATGCTCTGCTTCTGCGGTTGAAGGAAACTTAACAGGGCTGGTTCCTGCTCTGCCGGTTGCACTGTGCATTAGCCACAGAGCTTCAGTGTCCTCCTGCCACCCCCCCCCCCGCCTCCTCCCCTTCTTTTTTTCAGACACACTCTTGTCTGTGCAGTTACTAAGTCGTTCCTTTGTAGCCTTCAACCGTGCCAAACTCTGCTTTTGAGTCCCAAGGCAGTTAAAACTCTCCTGCCCGCAGGCTGTCCGGCCGGTCGCTATGGCAAAGACTGCGCGCACGTGTGCCTCTGTGGGGAAGGAGCTGCCTGCCACCACGTCACGGGAGCCTGCGTCTGCCCTCCGGGGAGAACTGGTGCCACCTGTGAGCAAGGTAACTTCTAGCTGCGGGGTAATAGATCAAGTCAACTGGACAGTTTCATGGCAGTGGGTTGAAAAAGGTCCTACAGCAGGAACCCCTGGCTGATTTCCTTGCCCTCTGCCTGCTTTTGCGTGCCGCTGCCTGCCGCCCCGGCGGCTCGCGTGCCCACGGCTGCCCTCCTCTTGTCTCGCAGGCTGCCCAAAGCAGCGGTACGGGCTGGGCTGCCAGCAGCGCTGCTCCTGCCGCAACGGGGGGCTCTGCAATGCAGCAGACGGGTCCTGTTCCTGCGGGCTTGGATGGACGGGGAAATCCTGCGAATTAGGTAAACCTGATTTGGACGCGTTGTCCTGCACTGGCCCAGTAACTGTTGAGCTTGTTCAGTGTTGCTTTACACTGGGTCCGGTCTCTTATTCCCTCCCACCTGTGTAACTGTCCCTGTGCTCCCTCATCACATCACGGCACTGCACAAGTGCCACAAAGGGGCAGGAGCTGCTCCCCGGTGGCGCTGAGGCTGCAGCGGCTGCTGACGAGCTCCACTCCCGCCTGTTCCCCACAGAGTGCCCTCCCGGCAGGTACGGTGCAAACTGCCAGCTCAGCTGCGCGTGCCAGAACAATGCGACGTGCGACCGAGCAACGGGAGCCTGCCGCTGCGCCAAGGGCCACTACGGGCACTTGTGTGAACACAGTAAGTTGTGGCAGCCCAAATGTGGCTCCTTTAGCTTTGCAAGGGGGGCATTTTCCAAAACTGCTCCAGAGAGCAGAGCCATAGGAAAAGGAGCGCTCACCCCTGCACTCACCAACACAACTATGTGCTGCCAAGGGACTCTTCTTCCCTATCTCACTGAAACTCAGAAGTCATGTTCACAGCGATCCCTTCCTGGGCGATAGAAGTAGCTGCAGTGACATTGCATTTTAATTCTTGGTGCATTAAGACCCCTGGGTACAGAGGTGCCATTCAACTATGGATAAGACTGTTTATCACTCGAGCACATGCTTAGCTGTTAGGTAACTGAGCTGAGAGCTGAGGTGTCGTGCCCTAGAACGAAGACTCTGCCGGCAGGAAGGCTGCTAGCCCTGCTCCAGGGCACCGCGAGCTGTATTCACTTCAAACGTGCTCAGAGAGAGGCTCACCGCTCCTTGCTGGTGGGCTCACAGGAGGCTTTGCTGCAGAGGCCATCTGCGGATGAGCCTCTGTTAAACCCGTCTGTACTTGCCAATCAGTTCTCTAACCGGCTCCTGTCCCAGGCTGTCCCCCAGGTTTCCATGGAGTTGGCTGCCAGGAGCTCTGTGACTGTGAGAATGGAGCAACGTGTGACCCAGCAACTGGTCGGTGTCTGTGTCCTACTGGTTTCTATGGAGAGCGCTGTCAGACAGGTACTTGTTATTGCTTTTTTTTTACTAGAAATAGGCAAGAACCCCACACTTAGTCTTTTAAGATGTGCTGTATTTCATCTCTCACAACAGGTTGTAAGGAAGGAACATATGGAGAGGGATGCCAGCATTACTGTGATTGCGTAGGAAACGCGCCATGTGATCCAGCCACTGGACGCTGCCTATGTCCTCCTGGAAAAACTGGTGTTAAATGTGGTTCAGGTGAGTTTAGCTGCAACTTCAGGAGGTGAGAAAGGGGTACATGCAAGAGGGGCTTTTACAGTAGACTGGAAATACAGTCCTAAAATAGATGCAAAAATCCTCTTGTTGGAGATGAAAACTCATGGTTGGGGGGGGGGGGCCTTCCTTTTTGTGTGTCTCCTCAAAGAGTAAAAAGTGTTCTGCCTTATCTTTCACTCGGCCTCCACTGCAAGTGCTGCATATTGTATAACAAGAAACATTTCAGCTCAGACGCTGAAACATGCTGAAGCTGTAGCAGCCTAATGGCCTCTCTTCCCTCCCCTCCTGCAGACTGCCAAATGAACAAGTATGGCCCCGGCTGCACGCTCACCTGTGCCTGTGCCACCAGCAGCTCCTACTGTAATGCTCAGAATGGCCAATGCCTTTGTATTAATGGGTACATAGGACCTACATGTCAAGAAGGTAATATATAGGCTCAATGACACAGTAAGTAGCTACTGAATGCAAACAGTGGTAGGTTCTTAAAGCAAAAGCACCTACTGCACAAGGACACTGTAGTACCTTTGCTCTGGCCATTGCTGGCTGTCCTGGTGAGTTAGTTTTGGTACTGGTACTGTTAACTAAAAGCAGTAACATAGCATAACGTGGGCCTCAGAGCCCATTTGTTTCTGGCCACTCTGTTACAAAAACAATTCAGTGCACTAAACAGACTTAGGAAAAAAAAGCTATTGCTGCCCAAACAATAATCAAATCACAGTCTCCCTTTGGCTTAGAGGGAATTCCCAGTGGGCCCTGCTGCATTGCTGCAGAGGGGATGGAAGGGCAGGCTGCCTTTCTTTTGCAGGTGGTTTGCCTCGTCTGTCAGCAGCTGAGCAGCAGCCTTTGGCACCAGGTCAGTAACAGACCCCGACAAGCTCAAGGAGCCTATTTCACCCCATAGCTGCCTGGGACAACACCTTTGAAACCACGCTGAGAGAACAGCCTAAAGCGCCTGCCTCTGAACGGGAACGGTGGGACCAGTGCTGTGGGCAGGCTGACACCAGAGCTGCCACGGGCAAATCATCTGTGCCGTCCTCAGCACAGAGCACAGCTGAGGCTGTTTCTTCACAGGCACTAAGCACATTGAAAGAGCACATAGGGCTTCAAGAACACCTGCCCACATGCCAAGGCACTTTGCACCAAATTTTCCATGAAGTCTGGAAGGCATCTCTCTCTTTCTCTCTCTCAATCTCTCTCTCTCTCTCTCTCTCTCTCTCTTTCTTTTTTTCCCCTCTCTCTCTTTTTTTTTTGTTTGGTTCACCTTCAAATGAAATTTATCCTGTTGCTGTGTTTGCTGAGCGCACCACTGGGCAGCAATGACAAAGAGGGAAGCCTTCCTGCCTGAGCGCAGAATTACTGCATTTATCTGTGCTGGCTTGTGCTAAAGCAGCAGGGTGTTTCCAGCAGCTGTGCTTGCTGGTTAGTTAGGTAGCATCACCCATCCAAAACTACAAGCAATCTACAGTGGCCACTGTACAGCCCACAGGGTCTGACTTCTGTTCCTGCTTCTCTTGCAGCTGTGCAACCCCAGACACTCAACAGAGCGTCCTTCCCTGAGGGAGCTTTCGAGTTGGTAAAGCATTAGGAGCATCTGGAGGGGTCGCTTACCAGGAATGCTCTCTTGGAACACGACCAAGCAGACACCTAAAGAAGCCAATGACCTGTTTAGAGACCTTGCTTACAAGCCATATGAGTGATTATCATTTTATGACAGACTAATCATCTGCTGCTTTTGAAATTGTTTGACTGAGACTGAAGGTTCAGCTCATAAGCAATTCACCTCAGCGAGACACCTGAAGGGAGGTGGCCACCAGCTTGGTCTGGCCTTCGAAAGTGTTCCATGAGAGCAAACATGCCGGCACTGGGGCAGGCTGCTGTTGTCCAGGCACTAGCAGGAACAGTTCAGAAGCTATTGCTTCTAGTCAGTGGCTACTGGTCTTGGAAAGCACGTGAGAATTTGCTGGCTCTCTTCTTTCGGTTTTTGGGTACAGAGGTTTTCTTGGGGAGGCCTGAAAGTATAGTCAAAAAGATGTATTTATGTAAAGATATTTATGGGAAGCTGTACAATTGTGTTGGCACAAATGATGGCTGAACATTCCCTGCTCTCCTGCAACCACGTCTAGTGCAGACTAGCACCTCACTTGAGATTTTTTTTTGTTGTTGTTGTTTTTGACTTTGCAATTAGTCTTATATTGTAAATTACTGTTTGCCATAGCCGCAAAGCAGGCTTATGTAGGCAGGGTCCTGAGTCATCCTCACAGCAGTGACGAGCTGTTGGGTAACCACCTCCTAGCAGTGCAGGCTTCTAAAACAGGCGATGTCTCCGCACATAAGAACGATAGGTTATGTTACGGCACCAGCGCATGCAGCTGTTGATTCCCGTCTTTTACGAAGCATGAACTGTTTCAGAACTTAAGCTGCTTTGCTGGAGACACAGCAGTAGGCCCACTCTGCGTCCAATCTCTGCTCCAGGTGTGCAGTGCACGGTTTTGTACCTCTAGCCCTTACTGTGTCACTTCCAGAGAGCAGGTGCCTGCAGCCTAATGTTGTTGTGGGAATAATAGTCAAGTGGTTTCCTTATCCAAAAGGAAGTAGGTTTTTTGCTGAAAATACAGTTTGCTCTTGGCCAGCTTTGGAAGGTTTCAGGAGCCTGTTTTTTGTACTAGGCACATGTCATCCCACCTGCGCTTCCCATGGCACTTGCTCCACAGAAAAGTGAGTCTGAACTGAGTGTAAAGCTCAGGGCTACCTTATGGCTAGAGATAAAGCTCTTCCTAGGCCTAGTAAATGCCAATCCCTGTGAAAATGTTCTTCCCCAGCCTTGCACCCTCCCTTGTTTTTTCCATTTGCAGTTGAAAGCGAGAAGCTGAAACAGCGCTGGAAGGAGGTGGCGGCAGAGCGCTAGCCCGGGCAGGGTGCACTCGGGCTCCGGAGCCAGGCAGCAAGCGTGCAACCACTGCAAAGCTTAGGCTGCCACCTACCGCAATGGGGAACGCCGGCCTCTGAGTCTCCTCCTGAAAGCGGCCCAGAGGCTGAGTTCAGCGGTCAGTGAAAGCCCCGCTGGTGCGTGTATTTGCACAAAGCTCTTGGGCAAATATAGCCCAAGAACTGCCAATGTCAAAGAAACCAGGCTCTGAGAAGGAGCTGGCGCGGCCCTGCCCCAGCCCAGCTGCCTCCGCCGCTGCTGCAGCACAGCCCTGCCCAGGCGCTTGGCCGTTACATTAGTCCCACAGGGGCCAACTGACAATAATAAAAGAATTGTTTCTTTTCCTGATGGAAGTTATTTTAATCTGTACATAACTTGTAATTTTTGGCTAAGTCTTTTCTTATTTTATTTCTTCCTTAACAGTATTTTTGCATTAGATATCATTATTGTGAAGAAATGATGTTAATATAAGTATGTAGTGGAGGACCAAAATTGCGTAATTCAGGTTGTGTGGTGTGACTGAGAACCCGGGCGTAGGCAGGTGTCGTTAATGACGTGCCAAATGACCCCCGAGGCGCCTGCTGCTCTTGCTGCTGCTTCTCCAGACAATCAGGTGCCGCGCTGCGCGTGCGTCTAAGT